AGAATCTAATCTCCATAGTAGGATATATATATATATATATATATATTTCATAATACATCATAAAATCTCACTTGATCATTCTTAAGGTTCTTTTACTGTAGCAAGACTTAGACAATTACTAAATTGATTTGTTACCCCGTAGTGCAATTGTAGCATTACTATCACCTAATCTTACCCCTAGTAGACACCCGTTTATTAATGAACCTGCCAAAAATATGAATATAGGATTGATAAGTTAAATATTATATTATTTTCTATGTTTGTTAATAAGATCAAACATGCATGCTTGTGCTAAAAAAATAACATGAATATGAAGTAGGGATGACATATCCAGGTCATTCCCCAAAAAAAAAAAAAAATTTCACCTCCAATCTTCTTCTTGTAAATATCAAGCACATTAATAATTTGTGGAAAGAGAATAATATAGCACTCATTCTCTGAAGAATATGTAAATGCAATAAAAGGGGAACGATTTTGAAAACAAAGTATTACTTTTTGTTATCTTACCAAATTAGTATCATCAATGGTACCTCAAACATAGTGAAGGAGTTAAGGTGGAGCAGTAGGCAATTGGTGGTAGCACCAATGGTCTTACAATTTGTAACACACTAAGTTTTTTTTTAAAATATTTAACTCAACCATAGTTGGATTACAACCACCCAACACTTTTTATATCAATAATTTCAATATAAAATATTTTATAATTGGCTTCAAACTCACACAATATAACATTTCAGATAAATTTTTACCTCCCACATGCCACTAGGCTAAATCACATTTGTCTATTCTTATACTCCCAAAACAAGTAAACTAAATCACATTTGTTCATCCTTATACTCCCAACAAGTAAATAAACAATTTAGTCAATTTTCAACACAAGCCAGTTATTTGACCTCATAATTATGCTATTTTAACTAATCCAAAGTAAATCAAATATTAAAATTACAGTCATCCAAATTGTACCAAAATAGAAATAGTTTGAAAGGCATGATTACATTTATATATTCATATAATTATCAATAAACAAAGAGCCCTAATATTCACAATATAACACATTATAAATCATAAATCAATACGCAAAAGAGACAGTGGATCTATGCCACTAAGCCTCTGGGACTCCTCCACGTGTTACTCGTGGCTCTTCTCTTGAAAATTGTTAACCACATAAATGAGACTCAAAAGTCCCAGTAACTAATACCAATTATGATAGTGTGTACAAACAGTTAAGTGTGTGCTTACTAAGTGGGAACCAAAAAATAATATAATTCCCAACAAAATAAAGAAATATTATAATACACACAAATAACTATCCTTATATCCCTCCCATTAACCTTGAGCCGTAACCCACTCGGTGCTCAATTACACCGGCCAAAGGTAGATTAGCCCGAGCCCTTACAAGTCACCTATTGAGCTCCAATAGGGGCGTACCACGTGGCACAAAATACAACAATAATAGCAAGTCTCCCACACCTCCCACAATAATCAAAACAAATTCATAATAAATATTGCACAATTATACAATATTACAAAATTATAATTTTCTCAATAATCAAACCCAATTAAACATGAAGTAACACTAATCACAAATTAAAAGCATGGTTACCTCGTGGCTTTTTCAATAAATTATTCCTTACAATTTCTCTCCCACCACAAATTTCACACAATATACAATCTACAAATAAATATTATTATAAATATTAGTTTCAATTTTTGAAACTAATAAAATAATTCTAATAATAGAATTAAAAATATAACATAATTCTAATTTTAAATCTTAATACAAATCTAGAGTTATACTATTAAATAAAATTTTTAACTCCTCTTTTACTTATCAATAAACATTAATAATCTAAAAATCAACTTCTAAACTAATTTCTATTATCAAAATTTTCTTTTTATTTCATAAATTCGCACCTAAAATACCCAAAAATTAAAATGAGTCTCTAGCTTAGAATCATAATCCTATAGCCATAATAATCATTTCTCATCCCAAATAATCATCTAAACCTCAATAAATCAATATATATTTTCAGATTTAGTTTAGAATTTGATCCATAAGCCACAAATTCAAAGATCATCAAACAATTTATACTCTAGAACATTTATTATACTACTAACAACCTCATAAACCATATTTATTCAACATAAATTTATTCCTCTTCCAGATCCTAAATTTTCTACCACCATAAAATCAGAAACCAAAGAGGAAGGATAACTAAGAAATTTTTTAGAACACTTATTTTTTTTGAAAAGCTTAAAATACACTCTAAATATTCATTAAAAAACTCTTACCTTAAAACCCAGCACCGGTGAACTTGCACACCGTCGCCCCCCCTCTGTTCGCGCACGAAGAGAAATGAAAAAGGAAGGAGAAATGAAGAAACGAAGAAGGAGGGATGGATTTTTTAAAAAAATACTGTGGGTCCACATTTTTTTTATTTACTCTTTCCTCTCTCTTCTTCTTTTTTTTATTATATAAACATAATTATTACCGGAGAGCACTGAAAGTTCACTTCTTCTTCCCCTTTTTTTATTCATACCTTTCTTTTTTTTTTTTATAATAATAATAATAATTTATAATATATTTTTTTAATTAATTAATTAATTTAATTTTTTAAAAAAAATTTTAATTAGAATTATATTCTAAGTTAGATTTAAATAATCTTTCTACTAATTTGCTTGCCTCTAAATATTTTTTAAAATTTTTTATAACCCAAATTATTATTAAAAGTTAAATTGGGGATGTTACACAATTCCATGTTGAAATCTTCTTCTTATATTCATATCATAATCATCGATATCATTAGTCTAAAGTTAGTTTGATATAAATGCAAAAGAAATTAAAATAATCATTGCCGGGAGAGCACGAAAGAACTTCACTTCTTCTTCCTCTTTTTTATTCATACCTTTTTCTTTTTTTTATAATATAATAATAATTTAATAATATATTTTTTATTAATTAATTAATTTAATTTTTTTAAAAAATTTTAATTTAGAATTATATCTTAAATTAGATTTATAATAATCATTTCTACTAATTTGCTTACCTCTAAATATTTTTTAAAATTTTTATTAACCCAAATTAACTATTAAAATTTAAATTGGGATGTTACACAATTCCATGTTGAAATCTTCTTCTTATTCATTATCATAATCATCGATATCATTAGTCTAAAGTTAGTTTGATATAAATGCAAAAGAAATTAAAGAGAGAAATTTCAATTTAAAAAGGAACAATTACTAATGTTCTATATGGTGGGGGAGTGTTGACGGTTAGTCAAAGAAATTACATGGAATTTGCTTTTTTTCAAAAATTTTTTTCGATTTTTATTTTAAATAAAAAAGTTGGAAAGTTAGAATAATGAAGAGAATTTCAAGAATAAGGAAGTTACATAGAATTTACTTATTATGAAAAATTTCACAATATTTTTAAAAATAAAATTTAAATATGAATAATTTTACAAGATTTTAAAATTAAAATTAAATTTATGGGTAAAAAAAGAAGTTGAGAAGTTAAATAATGGAAAGGTTTTTGGAATAATAATTTACATGACATTGTTTTGGGGGAGAGGAGGCACGTGGGGCAGCATGCCACTCGATCTCATTTTGACGAGCATGAATGTGCCTATTCTCCATTACCATGTTTAGAATGCAAACACTGTTTTGGTTTTTTTTATTCTAGAGAACAATGGGAGGCGGAGAACATCCCATTTTTATAAATGGCAAAGTTTTCAATAATGAAACAATATTCCCAACCCTGTGTATTGTCTTCTTCGTGTGCTTCCTCTCTTATTCATTGTGCTTCAGTTTGACATGAGCCACCGTGCTTGTGAACCACTGCATGCCCCTTCGTCCATTCTTTTGTCTTCATTCTTTACTATGCTCGTGAATTAGTTGTTTGTGACTTTACTTTGTGAAATAGGCTTGTTCTTTCTATTTCCCTATGGTTTTTCGTCATGGTCTTGTTTGATTTGGCTGTTTGATTCTATTTGTTTGATTTCATTCACTAATTTGCTTTTATTTCTTCATTTTCTGGTATTTGACTCTGGTTGTCCCTTTAGTTCTTCGCTTGATTTTACTTGCCGGTTTGCTTCTTGCTCTTTCCTTTTTGGCTTTGTTTGATACTTTGATTATGATTATGTTGGATTGTAAATATAGAAACAGCTTCCAAAACATTCAAAAAAACAAAACTACGAAAGAGAAAACAAGCCCATGGAACCACAATAAATGTCTCCATAGAATACAAGGACTTTCTCTTTTTTTTTTATAGGATGACTCATTTTTTGTTAAATTATGTTGTCCTTTGAAAATGTCATCCTAACAATTAGTTCCAAGAGTTGTCACTTATTGACTAATAAAATTGCACATCATCTGCAAACATAATAAAATGATAGTAATTATGTGTTTTATCTATCACCACTATCAAATATGAATTTGATTGATGAATGTAAAAGAGATATTATATACAGAGGACAGAGGGCAAGAGATGAACAAAAGTATTTTGAAGATATCTTGAGATGTTTTACCTCAAAATTTCTTTGTATATGCTTCAAGTGAGGGATTCTCTTGTTGTAATGTGCAATCATTATCATTCATGAATATGTTCTTTCTTCTCTTTCATGATCGGTCCGGTTTTACGTACCTTGGTTTTTACCTCAAAATTTCTTGTATAATGCTTCAAGTGAGGGATTCTCTTGTTGTAATGTGCAATCATTATCATTCATGAATATGTTCTTCTTCTCTTTATTCAACTTCAAATATAATAAATGTTAAAACAAATGCTAATGTTAGTTATACAAAACAAGTTAATATATCAAGGTTTTTTGTCCTCAAAATTTTTATTTTTATTTTCAATTTTTATGTACAATTTTTTAGAATAAATATTCAAATAACCTTTTTTAATTGTTTTTTTTTTTTGGTTCTCTAAACAAGAGTTTTACATTTCTCGTTTTTATAAATAACAACAGTTTCAAACAGCTATTCACTTCTTCGCAAGTCAATCAAATTGCGGGGCATCCTTTGTCTTCAGTGTCTTCTCCTGCATCAGCGTTGCCGCTTATGGCGGCTACAGCAGTAGCCGAGCCTAGGAAAGCTCCTCGACCGGGTAAGGGTGGGTTCGAAGCCCATGGCCTTTCTGAAGAGGAGGCTAGGGTTCGAGCCATTGCAGAGATCGTCAACTCTATGGTGGACCTCTCACGAAAAGGCCAAAATGTCGACTTGAATGCGCTGAAATCCTCAGCATGTCGCAAGTATGGGCTTTCACGTGCACCCAAGCTAGTGGAGATGATAGCAGCCCTGCCAGATACGGACCGAGAGGCGCTGCTGCCGAAGCTTCGTGCCAAACCTGTCCGAACTGCCTCTGGAATAGCCGTTGTGGCTGTCATGTCCAAGCCACATCGTTGCCCTCACATAGCAACTACTGGTAATATTTGCGTGTACTGCCCCGGAGGGCCTGATTCGGATTTTGAGTACAGTACTCAGTCTTACACAGGTTATGAACCAACTAGTATGCGAGCAATTCGTGCCAGGTAGGTTTCAAAGCTCTCTTTTTGTTTTATTGTTTTCTTGTTTAAGCATGTTGGTTTGATTTATGATGAATGAAACTCCTTCACAAGCGGTCAAGATTATGCTGGGGTTAATTATTGTGTCGGCAAGATTTTATTTGTCGAGCTTCCTGGGGATATTATCAGAATCAGAATGCCTAATCATTGTTGAAGCATATAGGGCAATTACATCATTACCCCCAAAGTGGGAGTTTAGCTTAAATGTTCCTCCAGATTACTGTTGAGTTCTCAATCAGTGCATTATGTTATAAAATACTGAATCAAAATCTCAACTCCCTCATAAGATGCTTTATGCATTATTGAATCATGTAACCTATTAGGATATATTAATCTCTGCTAGGAAGGAGTTCAGTTCTTAAATAATAGTAAGCCAAATGCTAAATTACCTTTAGTATTCTTTCACCTCTTTTCTTGATGCAACTCTATATCCCTGATTGCTATAAACTTTGATAAGAATTCTGTTTCATATAGATATTTGTCCATGATTCACAATGCTGCATATTTCAAATGGTGAAAGCAGAAAAATAGTTGAGAGTTTGGACCTCCTGCTAGGTGTGAATTATTCTCTTTCTAATACAATTTCATCTTAAAAATCGGGTTGTCATTTTCTTCGTTTCCTTTTCTGGATGCTTATTCTCTGGTGATATGGTCCCGTAAAATTCACTCTTTGAATACTCATGCTAATTACTGTACATGTTATACCTGCCACTTTGGACTTAGGTATAACCCATATGTCCAAGCTAGAAGCAGGATAGATCAGCTTAAGCGTTTGGGTCACAGTGTAGATAAGGTTTGGATCTCAATCTTTGATATATATATATATATAAATATCTTGAATTTCTCAAGTGCTGAAATATATTTGTAAATAATATGTCCTTAATAATATGATGTGTTTTCCAGGTTGAGTTCATTTTAATGGGTGGTACTTTCATGTCCCTTCCAGCAGACTACCGTGATTACTTTATAAGGAATCTTCATGATGCTTTGTCTGGACACACTTCTGCAAATGTTGAAGAGGCGGTTGCCTACTCTGAGCATGGGGCAACTAAATGTATTGGCATGACAATTGAAACGTAAGCTGCCATTTCAGTGTTTAAATTAATGTTCAGTAGTCGCTAAATTTTCCCCCCTGTTAAGGGAAATAGTGCATCCTCTGCTTGTACGTCCACAATATTATCTGCAAAGTTAGAGATAGACCCTTGTAAGATCAAATACTTCATGAAAAGTTATCGCCATGATCTTGGCTTTGCCTTAGTGCTGGAAGTTCTAGAATGTTTCTACCACTTCCGTTGAAGCTTATCAAGAATCATTTTAGTCCAATGTTTATTGAATTTAATGTGGTTGTACTTTTTGAACACATCAATTTGTAGCTTATCTACTCAGGCATTTCTACATTTATCAGGAGGCCAGATTATTGTCTTGGGCCTCACTTGCGGCAAATGCTTTCTTATGGCTGTACACGACTGGAGATTGGAGTGCAAAGCACATATGAGGATGTTGCTCAAGACACTAACAGAGGGCATACAGTATCTGCTGTTGCAGATTGTTTTTGCTTGGCAAAAGATGCTGGTTTTAAGGTTTGCTATTGAGCCTCTCGATAATTTTTGCCCTGCCGTACTTTCAGTAGTATGCCCAACCATGCTCTTGTATATATCACCTGCCAACTCTTTTCAAATCAGTCTTCATAAATCAATAGGAGATCTTGCATATACTTGATTCAATTTTTTTTTTGTAGACTCCTGTGCTGCCTCATCAATCTTGTCTTTGTTGAGAGTACAATCATTAATTAGATGACGCACTGGTGCAATTAGCCAACTTTCTATAGTCTCACAATCTTTTGACGTTTTTCTTGTTTGTCCCAATTGTAGCCCTTCTGTAGATGGACTAGGCTAATTGTGATGCTTATTTATTATACTAGTTTTTGTCTATCCCTTAATCCTTGTCCACCCAACTTATGCTTTAGGTTGTTGCTCACATGATGCCTGATCTTCCAAATGTTGGTGTTGAGAGGGATTTGGAAAGTTTTCGGGAGTTTTTTGAAAGCCCATCATTTAGAGCAGATGGACTTAAAATATACCCTACACTTGTAATACGGGGAACTGGGCTTTATGAGCTCTGGAAAACTGGCAGGTACTTGTTATTTTTGTAGTATACATCTCTATTTTTTCTCTTGGTTATTAATCTCTCTTAGTATTATTTTTTGTTAGGAAAATAAAGATTTCATGATGACATTTTAGGTATAGAAATTATCCACCTGAGCAATTGGTGGACATCATAGCAAGGATCCTTGCCATGGTGCCCCCTTGGACTCGTGTTTATAGAGTTCAGCGAGATATTCCCATGCCTCTGGTTACTTCTGGGGTTGAGAAAGGTAATCTAAGGGAGTTAGCTTTGGCTCGGATGGAAGACCTAGGCTTGAAATGTCGTGATGTCCGGACCCGGGAGGCTGGAATCCAGGTTATTATATAGAACTAGTCTCATTTGGAATTTTTATACACTAAAGAGAGCATAAGCTTTGAATTCTTTAGATAAAAAGATGCAATTAGTTTCCTGAATATCTGGGATCACCAATAACATCTTATGTGTTCTGTAGGACATTCACCACCAAATCAAGCCTGAAGAGGTGGAGCTTGTTCGTCGTGATTACATGGCAAATGAAGGTTGGGAAACATTTCTATCATATGAAGATACTCGACAGGTAGATTGACCTCTCTTTTCCTGTTCCCTTTGCTTGTGCCCATCTTATGTGTAGATGAGCTTGTCTACTAACGTGCGTACAGTATCTTCCTCTATTCTTCTTGATATTTTCCAGCTTCCATCACATTTAGCAGTGACAACATGATTGCTGATATAATTTTCAGACTATATATGGCTCTGCTATTGGTATAGATTAATATGCCTAGATGTCTTAGTTCTTTGGTGACTAGTGGGATGTTCTACTTCACCTTCTATTGCAGTTATGCATGCCTCTGCTGTGAATATATTACTAGATTGAAAAATTTCTAAGAGGGACGTGTCTCAACCTGATAATTTTGTGCTCCTGCTGGGGGGGGGGGGGGAAGTGCAGTGACCCTATTTATGCCCGACTCTATGCAGGATATTCTTGTTGGTTTGCTGCGTCTGCGAAAATGTGGTCGGAATACTACTTGTCCAGAACTTATGGGGAAGTGCTCTATTGTTCGTGAACTCCATGTATATGGAACTGCTGTTCCGGTCCATGGGCGTGATGCTGACAAGCTGCAACACCAGGTAATGGTTTAATACTAATGTAGATGACCTACTATAACTAGATGAACAGTCAGATAATCTAAATGTACACCACTGCCTCCTTAAAATTGAAGCTTTTTTTTTTTTTTAATTTATGGTTTTAACTTTAGAATTCATGAAGCGTTACATTTGTATATTTCATGGAAATAATTCTTCAGCTGGGAATATACTTACGAGACGGTGCAAAAAGCACCATACGAACAAACAGTAGTTTTCTACTTTTCTTAGGGCATTAATAGAAGGCCATTATTTGATCCACTATTTCCAACCTTAACGATTGCTACAGGGCTATGGTACACTGCTAATGGAGGAGGCGGAACGAATTGCTTGCAGGGAACATAGATCAACAAAAATAGCTGTGATTTCGGGAGTTGGCACTCGCCATTATTACAGGAAACTGGGCTATGAGCTTGAAGGGCCCTACATGGTGAAAAATCTATCGTGATTGTCACTCGATGGAATTGTTTTTTTTTTTTCACACTTTTTTTGTGAAGGTTTAATGCCATAATATGCAAAATGTTGACTATTTGGAGTAGTCACAATTTAGTTAAAATGTCCTTCATTCGACACCCTATTTTTTCCCCCCTATAAGAATCAGTTCGTAGTAATTGACGAACTCATGGTTAATTATTACAAATAAAACATTTCAATTTTGATAGAAGTTCAGGGTCCCTATCCTCATGAAGGAATATGCATTTAACTTTTGCTTGGTTTGGGTTTCTGCGTTTTGCTTTTTTTTTTTTTTTTTAAAGCCAACATTCTGCATGCCCCTAATCATTTTTTAAAGTATCTACGTCGCTGCAACCACCTCTTTGGTAGAAAATCAATGTCTATACAGACATAAAACATGGAGTGGAACCTTATCCTAAAGTTGTCCAAAACAGGCCCTGATCGACGTGAAGTTAGTACTGCTTTAAAATCATGAGGCATGAGATTAACGTTCGTTCATTTGCAAAGAGTGGAAAAAATTGTCAATAAAAGGAAGGATTTTTCATAAAAAGGGATGACTATAATAACATCTTGAAAAGAATGAAAAAACACAAGGAAAAGAATTATAGTAAAACTAGGGACCGGTGTGAATATGGTTAACTTTATATTCATATCTAGTTGATGAGATGCTACATCCTAACGTGATTGTTTTGTTGTCATAAATCTATTGACCTTTCTCGTTTTACAAATTGAATTGCGCAACAATGTGGATCATGAGCCTACCACATTTTGAGTATGCCACTTTGATTAAATGTATTAATATGTCCCTAATTAGGCTCTAATTGCAATTTGGTTGGGGATTTTCTCCATAATCGCCATCCCATTAGGCTTCTTCCTTAGTGCATAAGTATTTGTCTCATTCTTTCCATAATGTATGATTATAGTAACTCAATTATTATGACCCACTACGCATCTCGACAAAATAGGTCTTTCTCAATTCATTTGTGCCCTTGCAATTAGGGTCTATCCAACATCTCATGAATTTCATTAGATGTACCCTCTGTTATTGCTTCATTGGGTTCTTATTATGATTCCCAAGCCACAATCTATTTTAAGTTATTACTTCCATCATAAAAACTCATCATCTCATATTTACAACATATTTCAAATTATCAACATCATTATAGTCATATTTGTCTTTTCATGGTTTAAAATTACCTAATCCTTGCATTAGGGTAGCTTGTTTTTACAATTTTCTTTATCTTTCTCTCCACACTTATCATTGTCATAATATTTTTATCATGATCCTCTATTCATTCAAGTTCCAGCAAAAGGGTTCCTCATCTACACTTCTTACAATTGTTACACTTCATGAACTTTTTAGCCTTTTCTTTTTACTTTGTTATTTAATGTTAATTCACAATGATGCTCTCACTTTCCTAATTTCACAATCTCTAACCCAAAATCTTTTTTTATTTTGGTTCCCTACGACAAGTCACCAAGTAGGCAATCATATGTCCACAATACAATTTATGAAGTCATATAGACACCCACCTGCATGCCCGAGCACATGAGAGAATTCCTCGCATGATACATGGGTTAATAAGAAATTCACTCCTTTCATTTTCCTTTTGCTTGTCTCTAAAAGTTATGGAGTCCACATTTGATGCTCATCAATTAATGGGTTGATCTAGGCCTTTTATTTTATTTTAAAATGATCCATATCGTTCCCCTTAAAATTATATGGGAAAATTACGAATAGGTCCCATAGAAGCAACTTATTTAACAATAAGTTCCGCGAAGTTGAAAAATTACAGCTAAATTTTGTGGGACTTGAGTGTAATTTGTAATATGTGCGTAAATGCAATACTATCCCTACTTAATAGGTCACAATGACAAAAATATCCCTTTACCTAAATTAACCATTATACTCAGTCTCTCACGTCATTGCATTGTCGCTACTATTCTTCTCCTTCATCAGTTTGTCTATTGTGCTCCATTCATTCTATCTATTCTGCTTCATTCGTGTTTTGCTCTAACCATCGCTCGCTCTCTTCGTTGGGAATTGCTAGGGCAAAATCATTATCATCATTCATCACCACAGTCAATTGTAATCTCGATTCTTTCTCCTTGGTGCTATAATTGCTCTGCGTTTTCATTATTTAATTTACGTTTCCATTACTGTAAGCCTTAGTTTTCACTGTTCAATATTCAAACTTCTTATCAAACTTGCTAGATATAAAAGATTTGAACATTTGCTCTGCTGGATCAATGTAAAAAAAAAGAAAACAGAGAAACAGAGTTCAATGACAGCGAAAAAAGTTACAGAGAACAAAATTTCTGTGAGTGATCCCATGATTGCTGAAAATACATGATTGGTCGAATTATTAAATATTTGAAGTTAGAGTTGTGAAAAGTTAAAATACTAGTTGTAAATTATTGATAAAATAGTTGTAAGCCAACTAGCGTTAAACTTCTTAATAAGGTATGATCAATGTCACCATTAGATATGTGATGTTTCAGTTGTAAAAATTTGATATTTTTGTTGTAAATTATTGATAAGGTAGTTGTAAATAATTAATTTTAAACTTTGTTGATTTGAGAAGATAATGGTGATGTTAACATTCAACAGGTTTACGTGTATGATGGCAAGTTCTTCATCCAAACGAGTATATTGTTATTTTCATATTGGAGGGCAAATGGTGAAGAATCAAGATGGGAGTATACATTATGAAGGTGGGAGGGTAAAAGGAAGAGCAATTAATGAAGGCACAACACTTGAAGAGTTGAAAAGAATTATAAGATCATGTATTGGGTTGGAAACAAATATATTGGAGATGAAGTATACCATAAAACCTGAAATGAACACATTAGTTGACCTTGAAGATGATGAAGAAGTTGCTAATTTGATAGAGTTCAATGACAGTACTGCCTATGTTTATATTGTTGGCAATGATGTTAGTAATATAGACATGGTAACCGAGTCACATGAGGGGTAAGTTGTAATATTTACTTAACATCATTTGGGAATTATTGTGATTTAATTGGTGGATATTTGTTTGTTATTGCAGATTGTCACAAATTAGTAGGCATTCAATTAGCTTGAATGAACTCAACCATGAACCCGAATCGATACCTCTTTCAATGAGCATTGCACCAGCACCGTTACCCGAGTTTAATGCTTTAAAATGGAAAGATTTGCTTTATAGAGCTGGGCAAATGTTCCATAATGCTGTAGAATTTAGACAAGTACTCTACAAGTTTAGCATTGGAAATAAGTTTTGTTATAGTTTTGTGAAAAATAACGCAAAAAAGGTTATTGCAAAGTGCAAGGTGGATGGGTGCAAATGGAGAGTGAGTGCATATGCCATTTCTGAAACAAGTCCTGTATTAAGGGTAACATCATTATGTAATGAGCATGCACACTCAGCACAAGATACATTAGTTGTTCAGCAGAAGGCTAATGTAAATCTAACTTCATCTATAATAATCGATGAACTAAAGTCAAATGTTGACAAAACTCCTAATGAGATTAGACGGGACCTGTACCAAGAATTTGGGCTTACCCTTACTTATAGCCAGGCATACAGGGGAAAAGAGAGAGCAATGGAGGAGTTGCATGGTGCTCCTGAAGATTCATACAAGTTGATTCCATAGATTTGTCAAAGATTGACTGAGAAAGATGTAAGGACAATAACAAAATGGACAGCTTGCAGAGATAACAGGTTTGAGAGGTTGTTTATTGCTTATGGTTGTTGTATAGATGGCTTTTTAAATGGTTGCAGACCTATTTTGTATGTTGATGGATGTCACTTGAGCGGGCCGTATAAAGGAACATTGTTATCAGCTTCTGCTCATGATGCAGATAATGATCTATTTCCGGTGGCTTATGTAATAGTTAGTGGGGAGAAGTTACAAGAATGGACTTGGTTTATACATAACTTGAAAGATATTATGGGGTCTTTAGAAGTGACTATTATATCTGATAGACACAATGCAATTATTGGTGCTGTGGGAGCTGTTTTTGGAGCGAATAGACATGCATTTTGCTATCGGCACATCAAAGAAAATTTTAGTGCAGAGTTTGTAAAGATTGGAAGATGTGGAAGAAGAGCTACCACAACAAGCAAGGAGGATGCATTGAAGTTGTTGGATGCTATAGCATATGCTAGAATTTATCTTGAATTTAATAGAGCAATGGGAAATTTGAGAGCTTTTTGTCTAGAGTTGGCTCAATGGTTGGAAACTAATGGTGACATTAATAGATGGGCCTTGTCAAAATTCCCTTTTTGTAGGTGGGAAAACATAACTAATAATTTGTCTGAATCTTTCAATGCTTGGCTAGTTAAAGAAAGGAAATATAGTGTGGTCACACTACTTCTTGAACATCAAGAAAAGCTTGCGAGTAAGATGTATGCAAGCAAAGTTGCTATGAGCAAGTGGCAGAATGGTATTGGGCCAAACATTGAGGGAAAGTTGAAGGCTAATGTTGCACGGGCGGAAGTAATGTTAGCTAACCATCATTCAGGTAACTTGCTGAGTGTGAAGATAGGAGACATTCATTTGCGGGTTGACCTATCTCTTAGAGAATGTACATGTCAAGCTTGGCAGATGTCTGGAATCCCTTGTGCCCATGCATGTGCAGCTATAAAAAAGGTTTATGGTAATGTGTACTCTTATGTGGAAAGATGTTACAATTTGAGATCTCAGGAGAAAATATATAAGGACACAATAATCCCCATCGAGACAAATGACATGCCACGAGTGAATGCGTTAACAATTACCGAGATGATGACAGAAACCTTCCTAAGGCCCCCTACTACCTCTCATCCTCCTGGTCGGCCCCAATCAGTGAGAAGAGAGTCTCAATCACAACGCAAGAAGATTTATTATTGTGCAAGATGTGGCCAAAGTAGTCACACGCGTAGGACATGTCGAAATCCTAACCCTACATGACCTAACAAGCTAAAGCTTAAATAGTTCATTTTCAATTGTAAAATGTTTTTTCTTTGAATTTATGATGATCTTATATGATTATGTTGGTGAAAGATTATCAATTTCTATGTTTTAATTGTGGAGCATAAACACAAATTCGTTAGTATAGTAGTTATAGAACAAGAAATATGACTTGTGAATTAAGAAGTTCTACTTGTAAAATAAGAAGTTCCAGTTGTAAGCGAATGGCAAACAATTGTGGAGCAGGAGCACAAGTGCTTTAGTATATTAGTTACAAAACAAGAAACATGACTTGTGAATTAAGAAGTTCTACTTGTAAAATAAGAAGTTCCAGTTGTGAGTGAATGGCAAACAATTGTGGAGCATGAGCACAAGTGCTTTAGTATATTAGTTATAAAACAAGAAACATGACCTGTGAATTAAGAAGTTCTACTTGTAAAATAAGAAGTTCCAGTTGTAAGCAAAGGGCAAACAATTATGGAGCAGGAGCACAAGTGCTTTAGTATATTAATTACAAAACAAGAAACATGACCTGTGAATTAAGAAGTTCTACTTGTAAAATAGAAAGTTCTAGTTGTAAGCGAATGACAAACAATTGTGGAGCATGAGCACAAGTGCTTTAGTATATTAGTTACAAAATAAGAAACATGACCTGTGAATTAAGAAGTTTTACTTGTAAAATAAGAAGTTCCAGTTGTAAGCAAAGGGCAAACAATTATGGAGCAGGAGCACAAGTGCTTTAGTATATTAGTTACAAAACAAGAAACATGACCTGTGAATTAAGAAGTTCTACTTGTAAAATAAGAAGTTCTAGTTATAAGCAAAGGCAAACAATTGTGGAGCATGAGCACAAGTGCTTTAGTATAGTAGTTACAAAACAAGAAACATGACCTGTGAATTAAGAAGTTCTACTTGTAAAATAAGAAGTTCTACTTGTAAGTGAATGGCAAACAATTATGGAGCATGAGCACAAGTGCTTTAGTATATTAGTTACAAAATAAGAAACATGACCTGTGAATTAAGAAGTTTTACTTGTAAAATAAGAAGTTCCAGTTGTAAGCAAAGGGCAAACAATTATGGAGCAGGAGCACAAGTGCTTTACATAGCTTACAATGTTAACATCATATTTAAACACTATCAATGAACCGTCTTGGCTTTCTTATTTGGTTTGTCTTTTTCCATCCAAGCCATAACATTTTCCCAAGCTATGTTATTGGGATCGTTTACTAAATCCCACACCATGTCAATGTGAAGCCTTTCCATTGCACCCTAAGTTCAAATTCAAAAGATATGATTTAGTACTTATGTTTTAAACACCATGAACATGTACAATTTTCCATAATGCACCGAAAAACAGAAAAGATAATATAAGGGAAAATTACCTTCTCTATAGGAGGCATTGACTTGCCATTCCATTCAGGTTGTTCAGTGTTATCCCATTGTTCAAGCCATGTTATAAGATGTAGGCCGCAATCATATCTACAACAAAATTACTCAATTAATAGCTTTAATGTATTTATAATAACTTTTAAATTAATCAAGATTAACTTACGTAGTCTTTTGTTTTGGAATAAGGGCAAATGTCACATCCAAGTCAGGACTCTTATGATATTTGTCTGGATTAACCATCATTAGGATGCTTTTGAAGTTATGAGACTATACGATTAAACACAATCATAAGTATCATGCAAAATATCATATAAGCTCAAAATGAAAATTGTATATTATTTCTTACCATACTTTGGGCTAGCAATCTCTTCTCATTTGCTAAAGTGTCGTCTGGCTTGGGCACAAGCGGATACAACGAGTCAAGCACATGAAAATGCAATCCTTTTAGCTCCACAAAATAACAAAACCAGTGTGAATGGTACAACACTGGTGCAATAATGAAATCACACTCTGTAATATCGTAGCCTAAATGTTCTGGCATAAACAACATAGTATGCTCCCCAACCTTCCAACCCTGCACATCTTTCATCATTATTTCCATAAACAATGGGGTAAATATGTGGTGCCTCACACCACCTTCTCTTTCTTTTTGAGCAGCCATCAAAGCTTTGATCTTCATAGTCATCACCGTATCATTGATCCATTTTCTTGGTGCAAAACAACGCAACTCACCTCGTTTTACATAAAAATCATACATATCAACGAACAACCTGTTTAGATTAGTTTAAAAATAACAGAATAATGTCAAATTGAGACCACAAAAAAAGTTATTTACATAATACATAACTAATAATTAAAGCTTACTGTTCACAATCCTCTTTCTTAGCCCATTTTGTGCAAAAATTATAAAGGCGTCGCTTCTCATCATATGTCGCGTCATCGGAGGTGAATTGTGGCAATGTCACCTTAAAGCCAGACCATCGTCTACCGTGATGGCCTCTAGTTGACCTTCTAAGCTTCATTTCTTCTTCTACATCAACATCCATTAACTCATCTCTGTCACCTCCTTCATGCTCTTTTTCTTCCTCTTCATCCTCATTTTCTTCCTCTTCGTCCTTACCTCTTTCTTGCTCATTTTCTTCCTCTTCGTTCTCACCTTCTTCTTTCCCTTCTTCTTCATCCTCACCTCTTTTATCTTCTTTGTCTTCCTCATATATTGCAACATGACTCACCTCCTCCGCCTGTTCTAGATCATATATTTTTCTCTTCTTCTCAAGTGCATAACGTTTCTTTTGCACCTTCATAAGCACCTCACCAATATGTCTAACTAGCTTTACATATGCCTCCTTGAGATCCTACAACAACATAGTTACAAATATTCCCATCATACAAGTAAACATGACATCATTTAACAGTAATCTTATATAATTATTATATTATCTTACAATGTCTTGAAAGGCTAGTACTGGAAGAAATTGAGAGGAAGAGTCACTTGCAGCAAGCTTAGGTTTGTACAACATGCCATGATCGCTCTGTCTTTCCATGAGAACTCGCTCAGACGCCCTTTTCTCATTCCAATAACTAACAACATTGCTTGGCCAAGGCAATCTCTCTAGCTCCTCTAATGGGAAATTCTAAAAGAAAAAGATCTGCCCATAAAACATTAACTAATGTTAATAAGACATCACATGGCAATAAGACTTTCAACATTAATCAAAAACCCAAAAATTCTAAAATTACATACTTGAAGGAAAAAAAGACATCCACCAACATTTCTCTTCTTGCCCCTTGATTCCTTGAAAGTTTGGACCTCCCTAGTCATCTCGTTCAATACAAATGTTGCCCAATCATATATTCCAGTGAGCACATAGTTCTTACTAACTACTCTAAGTAAACGATCACTCACATGAGGACTAGATGTAGGAGCTAAAAAAGTCCCCAGCGTGTACAACAAAAATAAAGTCTCAAAAGCATCATCATTCTCACTAAACATCATCATATCTTTCACTTTCTTATAAGACATGCCAGAATACTTCTCTTTCATGATTCGAAGCACCATGTCATCAGCTTGAGCAATGACCACCTCCTTTGAGGTGTTTGGAAGGCCCATCAATGTCTCCACATCTTCACATTTAACCTGTCTTCTTACACTTCTTGCACATAAAGTGAAAGTGGGTGGGTCATATGCCATCATTAGTTCGAAGCACAATTCTCGATGTATCTTGGTGCATTGTATGTTTAGTAATTGTGAGAACCCCATCCTTTCAACCTTATCCTTCATCCATTGATGCTTCTTTACAAACTCCCCAACCTCAGTAAATTGGTTAGGAGAACAACGAGTTTCAAATGGATGCTGTTAATTCTATAAACATGTCACTCACCTATACTCCAAAATAAAAAAAACTAAAAAAAATACATCTTTGATCCTATATATACCATACTTTGTTTTGGCAAATTAGTGCTTCTTCTTTCTCTTTCTTCAGTAGCTAGGTTGTTATAATGTTTTCTTTCTTCCGTGGATAAATTTTTTCAAGCAGCTACCACTTCCTTGTTAGCCAATCTTTCACCTTCTCTTTTCGCTTTCGGCTGGTTAAAAAATCTTTATCTAAATAGATGGTAACCGGCAAAATTAGGTTTCTTAGATCCGGCCACTTTCCCTTTTCCTTTATCCATGATTTGACCTATACAAATCATATATTCAAGAAAACTATGTCAAATTTTAAGCACAGGAAGTCATTTTTTTTATGCAATTTGAGTTTAGGTTTGTGATGATAGCTGACACAATATATAATTGCATATCCTTCTTCCTGAACAAAATGGGATATATTCAAATTAAGTCTTGTCCTTTGAAATCAATCTCCTTTTTAAATCACTCTGGAATGAACTCTTCAGGCCTTTCCCTGGAGGTCCACAGTCTTTAAAGTTAGTGATTTTGTGGAGAGTGAAGGACTGAAATGAGGTAATAGAGAGCTGGGAATGAGGATTGACATGAATAAGGTCATAAATCCTCATGCCCATCTATTCATCTGTCCATGACTCTCATCTTTACCATTCCATAACTTGATTTTAGTCTATTTTATTCTCCATCAACATATTTCATTACATTGCATTTCTTTTCAACAATCAAATGGGCTTTAAGTGCATGTTTGGAACATGGAAAAATACTTTCAAGAAACGAAATGGAAAATGCACCTATCTCATCTTATATCCAGATAAATTCCCCCTTTCCTTTCTAGAAAACATTTTATCATACATCAAACATAGACTAAGAATTAACTTGAAAGCAGAAGTCCATTGGCCTTCTGTCATAGCCATGCTACACTAATGAGATAAAGAGTTAAATGGTTTCCATAACGCAATCCGTTTTCAGTGATAGGCTCATTGTAAACCAGACAGCTCTAGAATAGTAGGCTTGAAAGATAATAATGGGGAACAAGTGACCTGCACGATACATCTAATATCAAGCCTCTAAACATGCTATTTTATCATTTGGCTTGGTCGAAATTATTCAACCCAGAATAATCTAAAAATGTGGGCAACATATTACCAGATCAAGATGTTGCAATATTCCTTTGGGTTCAGCTCGCATTCACCTTCATCGCCTTCGCCTCTATCACTTGCAAGGCTCACGCATCATTCGTCTTCCTTTCAGTCAAGGTGCGCGGCTCACCCTCAGTAACGAGCGAGCAAGGGGTGACGGCTAGGGCAGAGTAATCGCGGGAGACAGAGTAATCGCGGGAGAGGGAGAGATTGAGTGTTTTTTGCAACAATTTGATTATTTTAACAGGGGCAATGTTGTCTTTCTACTTCAATTACAAATTGCATTCAAGTCCCACAAAATTTAGCTATAATTTTTCAATTTCGTGGGACTTATTGTTAAATAAGTTGCTTTATGGGACCTATTCGTAATTTTCCCAAATTATATTTGTCTAAATAAAAATTTAAAAGTTAATATTACATCTGAATAATCAATATATAAAATTATAAAGAATTTTAATATTAAACATAAATGTAGATTGTGCTGATTTGAAGGGCATATAATATTTTGAACTTTGCCGAAAATATTATAATTCATAATTACCCCCTCCGTGTAAAACTTTATGGCTGATAGAGTCAAAAACATGAATATACTTTTACTTTCATTAAATTTTAAAATCCCAACTTTGTGGCTTAAGAATTTTAAGCCAAAAAATCTTACCACATAACTGTTTAAGGGACTATGTGGCTTTAATTGTTCATAAGGTATTAGAAAAGGTCATTTAAAAAATAAAATATTTTTTCTTTTTTTTTTTTGAAAAAAGGCCATTGATAAGATTTATTGACCATGTGGAAAATGTATGATAAGTTATGTTTAATAACAACTTATTATTTTTTTTTGTAATTTTCTACCCCAGAACATAATAAAAATACAAACATCTTGTTTTATTGAAAAAAAAAATCATTGTCTTTATAGTTTTAATTTAATCTCTAAACTTAAACTCAATACGACCCAATCCCTCTAATTTTTGGCAATAGATTTGGCAAACATTCAAATGAGGGGAAAGATGGATGGTTTTGGGTGGAATGGGCAAACACAGAGATTGATGTAGAAGCTAATGAATGGGGCCAAATTGAAAATAAAATATTTAATGGGGCCAAAATCTCGTTTTACAATTTTTACAAGCAAGACTAATAATTTCTACCAAAGGAACATCAAAGTGTGTGTGGGTTGCAATGATTAAAAAACTAGACTGAATCAGATGGTTGGACTGATCAAATTGTTGATCGATCAGGCTAATGGCTCGGTTGAGCCAAAAAAATCATTCAGGGAGTTAAGCCAGATTGAACTGCTTTGGACTGGTGGTTGGATAGGGAACCGGGATCAAGTCGAGAATTAGATTTGTTTTTAAGAAACTAGACTGTTGAAAAGAAAATGCCCTTTTTCTTTTTTTTTTTAAATTTTCTATCAATTTTTTTTAAGAAAATGACCAATTTTTTTTAATCATTTGATGTTATATTGTCTCATGTGGCTTGTTAAGTTATAATAAATTTAAAATATTTGGTTTTATTTTTAAGTTAAGTGGCAATTTCATATTTATTTTTTATATTTAGATTATTATATATATATATATATATAATTTTTTTAATTTAATTGTTACGTCACCGGTTCGATCATTGGTCCAGCCCGGTTGGATCATGAGAACTATGCACCTCTAATATTTCTGGTTCAATATTCACTTTGGTTTTTAAAAATATTGGTGGGTTGGGGGGATCCTCCTTGTCCCCTGGATCCGTCAATAGGGGGAGAGATTTGTAATGGGCAAGAGAAGTTCATAAGAGTGGAACCTCAGCCTTGATGATTTGAGAAAGGGGGAGAGTGATGTAGATTAATAATGGGGTAAAGGATGAAAACGTGATTTTATTGTAAAAGCATCGTTAAGTTGTAGCCCAGCTTCAGCGAGAATGAATAGGAAAAGAGAAAGAAATGTGAAATAATGGACTTGTAATTTTACTCTACAACCACCGTCAAGGCTTTCTTTTTCGTTCGGAGTCTAGGCTACCGTGAAACCATATAATGAAATTAAAATAATGGGACAAAAGATGGATTTGCAATATTACCAAGCTCTCTCTCTTCCCAATTTATAAGATACTTTATAATAATTTTATATACTAATCAAATTTATTAAATATACTTTATAATCTTATTTTTTAAAATAAAAATATTAACTTTTAAAAATGCTTTTAATTTAATACTTCATATGTAAAAGAAAATAAAAGAAAGAGCTAATATAATAGGAAGGCTAATATTAAAAAGGTTAAAGTATATTTTTAATTCTCTAACTTTATATAAGGTTTTAATTTATCCCTTACTTTTATAAAGTATTTTTTAGTTCTCTAAATCTAATATCATTATTTTTAAATGATTATTTTTTGCATCAATTATTATTATTTTAAAAAAATTAAACTTAATATGTCAGCATTTAAAAATATTTTGTCAATATTTAAAAATTTATAAAAATTTGTTAGGATGCAAGTAATAGTGTTAGAGTTAAATGACTAAAAAGACACTTTATAAAATTAAAAGATTAAAATGAAACCTTATATAAAGTTAAAAGACTAAATGTATGCCTTAACTTAATGAAAAAAATATAATTAATAAAATTTATTTTTGTTAATGTCTTATATTTTAGTGCATTAATTTTTTTTAAAATGTCTTATAAATTAAAACAAACTTTATAATCTACACGTAGAATTATAAATTGTATCCACACTACGTACACAATTGTGGGTTTCTGCGTTATAATCATAAAAAAAAATAAAACAAAATATTAAATAATTGTTTGGGCTGTAGAAAGAATAGTGTTTTCAGTGTACAAAGAATAATAATTTCAATGGAATTTACAAGAGATAAGATTCTGTTCTACATGGAATATTCTCCATGCATTTGAAGGGGTTAAATCAAGAAAAGACCCACTAGAAGCAACATCAACAAAGGTTCCGGCCTGTGAATGCAATGCCTTACAAAAATATTCCAGCAATTTTACCATGGAAATATGATGACGGCATTTTTGCAAGTAAAAAATCAAAATTATCAATATTTATATAAATTTTCATTTAAACCTTGCTACACATTATATGTATGTATATATATATATATATCCTAAGAGATGCAACGTATCTTTCTAAAAATACCTTCCTCGAATCATTCCATGAAGTGTAGACAATAAAGGATGATAAGATTCTTAATCAATCTTTAGCAACCCCTAAAGTTAAATGAAAAACTGTCCAAATGTCATTTACCTGAACCATATTAAGTTTCATGCTGACGTAGATCATTTGAAGATACTGAATGTGTTGTTTGGATCTTCACCAAGTAACCCATAGAATTTAGGTAGAGTTAAGTAAGGACAGTTTATTTTCAAAGCCTTCATTGTTTGGAAAAACTACCCCAAACCTATAAAATTAGAGTTCGAAGTAGTTCTCTCTCTAATAGACTTATTATTTGGAACATCCCCATTATTATTCCCACCATTCTTATTACTCATTGGAATCTCAACAGCCATTCCTTTTTTTTTTTAAATTACAGTAAAATCCACAAACTCAAGTTTAAACTTAACAGCAGAAACAGAAGCAGAATTACTATTCTTCAGACTATATTTCAATTCTTTAAAAGCTCTAAAAGAATGGCAAAGTAGACATACACTCTTTAAGAGAATGGCAAAGCAGACAGAGAACAAAAAAGCTTACCCAAACACATAAGCAAACAAAAACACAAAAATTACACTAAGAAAAGCAACTTAGACAATACCTAATTCAATCAAACGTAGGACAAAGTGATCTCCCGTAATGGTGTTAAAAAATTTGAAAGGCCTTAATTGCGTTGGCTTGAAATTAACAAGACTAAACATTAATGTAGATAGCTTTAAATTCAGATCGTACTCTCGTGGACCCATTGTTCTTGATTAATTGAATTAAGTAATACATAGAAAAATTGAGGTTTGAATCGGTTCTAATGCTAAAAGGATTGAAAATAATTTTTATAGGAATTTTCTTTAATTTTTGAAAACAAGAATTCAAATTGGAAGGTGTGAATGTGAGTGCTCTAATGAAATGGATAGCATTAATTTACCTAGTTAATGTGGCACGTCAAGATTATTTCTGTCTTAAATTTTGATTGACCTTAAGACTTAGGTTATACCTAAGTGATAATTACGCCTTTAACCTTCCTAGTAGCTAATTAAGAAAATTTAAATTACTTAATCACCTAAAGATATGCTCAATTGGTTTATTGGAATTATGATTCAGCCTTCTTGGAATGTTCCTCCAACTATATCAGAACTTCTTGGAATCAAATATGGATTGGAGTTTTGCTGGTATCTTGGTTTGAATAATGTTGAAACCTTCAATGACTGCGCAGCTACGTTAAACTTGCTTTCTAGGGATCAAATTTCTAATCATCCGTTTCAAGATATCGTGGACGAAACCCAACTTCTTTTGTGCAGAAATTCGAATTCAAAGCTGAATTTTATGTCTAGAGAAGCTAATTGTATTGCCCATAATTTAGCTAGGTCTTGCCATACTTTTGGTAATGATATGTACATCTTTGATAAAAAACCCACCTTTTTCACAATGGAGGTAGTTGATGATAGTCTTGATTTCCTCCTTGTATCTTGACTTTGTACTCCTTTTGAATTGGTCATGTATATTCAGTATTTCATTTAAAAAAAAAAAAGTGATTCAGCCTAGCCTTGCCTTAACAGTGAATTAATTCAAGCTTGACTAAGATTTTAATTACTCAGCTAACAAAGCATCAATCCAGATTTTGAATTAGCAGTATACATAACTAAATAAACATTTAACAACACAAGGTTTGAAAATTAACCACATGAATCCAAATTGAATAACACAATAATAAAACCAGCCAACCGTAATCTCTGTTCCAGCTAAAAATACAACCAAAAAATGAAAATAAAAAACTCAAACATAATCTCAGAAGTACAGTCCACAACTTCGGGATTGCATTCAAATTTACAACGGAGTTAGTTTAAAGAAAGTTTTACAAATGAAGCTCAGGAGCACTTCCATTAGCTAGGCAGAACAGCAGAGCAGCCACGCATGGAGGAGACCATTGAAGACTCGAAATTTAGCCCCAATGCTTCGGCCATGGTCAGCGATGTGGAGTGACAGTCGAATAGCGAAAAGGGCCTTCAATAGAGATGAAATTGGGAAGGTTTTGTTGCGGAAGTGAAGAGCAACGTGATGGTAGGTTCAGATTTGGATATGGTCTGATGGATGGATTCGGATGTGAAAAGGGTTTTTTTTTTTTTTTTTTTGTGGGGGGGGGGGGGGGGGTTGGTCTATTTAACTGACCGAACCTTTATGGTTCTGTTTCTCTTCATTGGCATGCCAAGACTAAACTCAAAAAATAAGTACTTTCACGCCTCAAGTACAAAATTCAACATTTATTATGAATCTTCATTTCATACCTGACAGCTTGGAGATTAACAGAGGCCATTTCAACAGAAATTCCAAACAAAAATACTTGTTTTGCGCCACACGGCATTGATCCATATAAATCTTAGCATTCTTGTTCACCACAGTTGCTCATAAGACCCAAGTAATGGAAAGGAAGAACGAAATATAGAAATCGAGAAAGGGAAATTCCTGAACGCCACTGCAGGGACGTGTTGTTAATTAGTGCTTCAACAACAATAACAACCATTATCATACTATGCATGGTAGGCTTCATGAGTGGCATTACACCATTGTGTTCTATCAGTGCTTCATTTTGTTAAAAATCGTGTACCAGTTCACCTTGAAATGGGCATTGAGCGTATACGAGCATTGTCAAGCAGAATAAACAAGTAGTATTTCAATATTTCCCAGTCACGAAGCAACGGAACAGTAATTTAAAGAATGAGACTAAAAATGTAAGTTAAAGTATGTTTCTGCAATTACCTCGACACTCAAAACTTATGACTGATTGGAGTCGCAGGCGTGACTTTAATCTATTTAAATATGTAATGAGTTCAAACTGATTCACTTCGATAGATAGGTCTACTTGACAAAAATAAATGCACAATTTCGAAGTTCAGAACAATAACGTGGTGAGTAAGAGACAGGTTGCAAATTGAAGTTTCTAAAATCGACAACCACAACACGTAAACTGAAACAAAGATCATGAATAAATAACAGAGAAAAGAACAATATCAACACTTCCTTTGGTTCCCTTTAGCAGCTTCTATGGATTTCCTCTTCCTCTTGTCCTCTTGGCTTTCATAAAATCTCCTTCTTTTACACTCTTGAAGCACACCAGCCTATCTTCGGGCTCATTGTCGCCCACTATGACCCGAGCGTTTTAAGCTGATTTGAAGAAAAGATAGAATATTTGAATACACACGTGCAGGGCACAAGATGGGTGAGCGATCGCTTGCATGAAGAGACAATGGAGGCAGGATGGACGTGGGCACGATGACTTTGAAGGAAGGAAGGTGGAAAAGAAGCTCGAAAGGAAAGAGACAGCCTGACCTGATTATCTGAAGTTGAAGCCTCGAGGCATGAGGTTCATCTCATTGAGAGAGGTTGGTTGAAGCTATTAAAGTACGCTTTACATAAGCAAGGATGGGCCTTTAGGTCCCCCATTGCTGTGTATCGTCAGAATATGGGTCGATCTGCTTAGGTGAACTATGTTGGGCTTTGAGAGGAGCAGTAAACTTAAAAAAAAAAAAAAATTCTTGATCTTCCAAAATTATTTTTTTATTACGTCAAGAATTGAAAATACAATTTTTTTAAGTTGGACTTGGAAATCATTTGAAATCTGTACATGAGCATAGTTAGAATCCTACTATTTATAGACACATCATAGCAATGGCCATCAAAAAGGAGGGAAGATAATACCGAAATCCTGCACAATAGGATCAGTGATTCCCGTTTAAGTAGGGCATTTTAATCGTCCCCTTGGAAGCATTGATACACAGAGCAGGACTTGCTCTGAATGAACTTTTTGCTGACTCCAGAGCTCTTGAAGTTTGAAGAGCCATCTCCCCATGAAGTTGAATGCATTTCATAGCCATCTACGGTGAACCACAAAATTAAACCAAAAGAAAGTAGCTTTAGAAGTCAATTCAAAATCAAAAAGAATGGAGGGAAAGAGTTTTGGAGGACACAAGATTCTATAGACATTTTTTGACGCTTCTAATTTCCTTCTCTCACCATATAGCATTCTCTATCTGTGTCTGACTCAGCTACCTCAAGTGCCCATGTGCGAATCCAATCAAGGCCTGCAGATATATCAGTATTTCCTTCCAACAAGGCAGTTGCAATGTAAGTTGGGTGAAGAGCAATCACAATGCATGCAGCTGCAAAAAGAGCAGCTCTTCTCACATATGCTTCTTTATGATGGCATACCTCCCTGCATAAACGTAATTTTGCCTGAATTAGCATGGTAGCATAACACCGCGAACCAAACAATGTGCATCTTAGTTCTACTTGATCAACAAGTGAGGCACACTTTGTTGGTGAGATAGTAATTTTTAAACTACAAAATTCAGTATTATTAAATCCACCAGGCCCTCTCACAGCTTGGAGTCAAATAAAAAATTACTCAGTCAATACCTGGATCTTAACATATCCAGGAGAGAGGGAGCAAGTGCAGATGCTTCTGGGTGCATTGCTAAAGACTTCATGCAAACCCCGAGCATATGAATAAGTTTCCCGAGGACAATGAAATCCCTACCAAGCAAATCAACACCGTGTCTTTTCTTATCATACCCCTCCATAGCAGGAAGCATGAATGCAGCAGCATAAACAGGAAACTTGTTCTGGGAACACTCCATCAAGTTCTGCTGTGTCGAATGCAATCCCAAACTCCACCAGCGTGTCCTCCCTTTCTTGATTTGATTATGTTTAGAGGGAAGTTCCCTCTCATAGCTATTTGACCAATTCAACAAAGTTTCTGTTCTCGAGATCTCTTTCCAGGAACCAGCTCCAGGAGGCCCCGTGCTGCTAGGCAAGAACCATGGTTGAGTATCAGAAACAACTGAGATGAGGGATCCAGTCCTGTGTTTGGGTTTCATAATTTGCATTTCAGCAAGCTCCTGAGCTGCTTCTGTCATGACATCTAATATCATAATGCGCTGGCTGATATCTAAATTAGGAGAATACAATAGCCTGTTTAGTGTATCCAAGGATTCAAATGAGCAGGTGACTAACAAGGCAACTAACGCTTTTTGTCGCTTGTCTTCAGTTGATTCTTCCGCTCCTTCTACAGATATATCAGAGCAACGAACATAAACAAGAGTTTTGGTCAGATCCCCCGCCAAGTGCTTAAGTTCATCAGGGGATGCTCTTATGAGCTTTTCAGCTACATCGATAGCCCTTTCCACCTGCAACAAAATTGTACAACTTAATCAACATCTACGAGTCTTTCTACACCAAGTTTTAACACCCCCCCCCCCCAAAAAAAAAAAAAAGGATGCTAGGAAACTTGTGCTCATCAGGAAAGCAGAACTTCATAGAACAATAAATTGAATTGAGTTTAGGGGCTAACATGGAAGTCAGCTCGGTGTTATGCTTCATGTCCTTAAGGTCATAATCATGTGTTATGTATAATAGAAGCTCCTAACTAAGCCACAATAAAATGAAGTTGGCAGTTGCAGCAATTGTTAAACTATTTAATTAACACTGCATCATATTAAGCTTAACAGTCAATTAGCACCACCTCAACTGTCTGAAATCTTGAATTCCATCTTTATGTAAAGAAGGGGCAAATAACAAAAGAGGCAACTATAATAGTGGGAACTAATGACTAACCCCATCGGCATCATCTGTTTTTCGAAGAGCTGCAACTACATCAGCTAACTGCGAGATTCTTTTTTTCAAATCTGAGTCATCATCTGACAAGTCATATGGCTGTAAGGATAAATCACTTGAGGAATATGAGTTCTCACTTCCACTACCATCCACATCATTATCATCAATACCAGAGTCTGATTCAAGATTTAGTGAAGCTGGATCAATAATCTCATCTGGATCAAGCACATTAAATTCCGATAACTTCTTTCTATCTTTTTTACTCATGGTTATCCTGCTACTAGAGGGCAAACCAGAGCCCCCCTCTGGATCTGACACTGAAAGTATTTTTGTGCTTTCAACACCTTTTTCTTTGCAATTTGATGCAGTTAGAATGTCTTTCTTGGGAACATTCAATCCAAATTCCCAATCAATTGTCTCCTCACTGCAGCTATCATCAAGGTATAGAGGATTTTTTGGATCAATAACTTTAGACAACACTAAAGCAACAATGCTGGCCATTCTTCGAACTAAATGATTTGGACTCTCCAGTCTACCTGGAACATTTACACAAAATATTAGAAGATGAACGGAAACTGTTATTTCTCCAAATAGAGATGGCATCAATTTGGCCTTTCCAGCACAAAAATTCAGAAACCCGTCGCATCATAGTACAGCAATTCTTTATTGTTCCACTACATGTATTTTTCCCCTTTTCAGGATATATATAAACATGTAAAAGAAATCATAAAACCAGAGTTCAGATTATTTAATCAGAAGCTAAGCCATTTCCCTATCTAGAAATCCCTAGAGTACTAATAGACTGCTTCCATCTCTAACACATCTTTCCTTAAGCTAGGGCTGTATTTAAGCAGCGTTCTTGAGGATTAACATAGGCAGTAATCCACAAATCTCACATAAGCCTAGTTTCCATCACTATTATCAACACACCCAACTGTTACAAGTGAATGTAATTACAGCTAACTCCTTGAAGAATCAAATGCATGACATCCTTCGTCCCTTCTAATTCTTCTTTAGTCATTGTCTCAAGGGAAAGGCCAAGAGCTGCAGATATATCTGAGACAAATCAAGGGAAACATAAATATGATAAAAAATAAAAGTACATAAATGCATTTCAATGTACATGGCATCAGTCCCAGGGAATGCTCAGAAGGAAGTGAAAATGTCATATACATGAGGAAAGGATTTTATATCAATTTGAAACAATGTTTCTCCTCCGACACTTCAAAGACTGCTGCATACTCTGAAAGGATACAAGCTTGCTGCTCAATAGATGCTGTTTGCACAAATTCTTTCTCAGACCATACAGCCACCAGACGCTGGACTACATTTAAGAGTCCAGGGCGACTGTGCCCATATAAAACGGTGCATGGTGGGCATTCATGAACTGAAAATTGAAGAATCCACTTCAGACAACTTAAGGGAAATACTTTCCAGAGCAGGAATTTGTCCACAAACAAAGACCTAGACAGCAGCCACGGAAAAAGGAAAAAAACCAAGTGCATAACAATATATATTAGTTTTATCATTTCTTAAAAAAAGTGAAAAAAAGAAAGACTGGAGTTGCCAGCCAAGCCAACTCAATTCGCAAAAAAAAAAAAAAAAAAAAAAAAGAGCATAACCAAAGAGGTTGCTAAAAGATAGGAGGATCTCCATTAAGCTCAATGTTTCTTTAACGAGTTTCCATTATTATGCTTCCCCTACGTTGCCAGGTTTAGTGTCTGTCTAATGCCTCGTAATTGGCCAAGGTCTAAATATCTGCAAACTGACTTATTGCAGGATACAGATGCATGAACAATGAAATGTGAAATTATGCATCTAATCAATGGCAAAATTGTACTACTACTATAACAACAATAACAAGATTATCCCACCATGTAAGGCTGGCAAAAATTGTACTATTACCGCTCAGCATTAATTAGTAATTAATTTAATACGAGGCATAATATCCCTCACAAAAGAAGTCCTTAAAGAAGTATATAATCTTGCAGTATTCACATCTATTTAGATTAAGGCCTTAAGAGTAAGAATGCAATAGGATAATTCTTATCTTTCCTATTTACTTTTCTCTTGATCCAAGAATTATTTATCTTCTTAAAAAAAAAAATCATTCTTCCTTCAGTTTTCTTTCTCTTAACCTGGCATCAGATTCAGACTCTCAGACAGACAGGTAAGGCTACACATTCAAGAAATTCACCTAATAAAAAGGCCAAAAGAGAAATATTCTCCAACCTGAAAATAAGCCAAACAGGATAAATGGAAAAAAGTAACATATATCCACTAACCTAACCGAAGCTTGATGCTTAAAAGTGCGATGAAACAACAACCATAGAACCCAATAGGCTAGGATATCATCTGCATGACGAGAAACTAGCTGATGCAAAATTTGCTCAGAGATTCTTTCCACTGCAAAGGGATCTCTAATTGCCTCCATCATTCTCAACCAGAAGACAGAATCAGGGTTTGACTCGAGCAATTCCTCAGTAAGTGAATCATTACTTTTTAAGCAACTCTGTATATGACTTAGAACTTGGGATGTTACTTCACTTGATAACAGATCTACAAGAAAAGAGAATCAATCAAAAAACAACTTTACTGACTCTTAACAACTAGTCCATATGCAACTGTAATTCACAACATTAATGGCAATAGCACAACACAGAATGGCTCAAAAGTTCCAATGTGATGTTGCTCTAAACTTGTTATTTATCCACACAGAACGAGTTTTTCCAGGCAATCAAAACATTATAAGAAGCAAACACAATGTATTCTAGTTACCAGCGGAGCCACGGCGACAAATGCGAGAAAACAATTCCCCAACAAATATCATAGTACCACTATTGTCCTTTTCTCCAAACTCCACTTTATTTTGCAGAATCACATCTCTTTCTTTTGCCAGGAAGAGAAGTTGGATGATAATCTGCCTGAAGAACAAGCTGAATATTTTTGGTTAAGAAAAAACATGGAAGAAAGGACCAAGGAATTAAGAACATCAACAACAACAACAACAACAACAAAAGCCTTTATTCCACTAGGTGGGGTCAGTTACATGGATTGCAAGACACCATTGTACTCAAATAATGGAATTAAGAACATCAATCTCAAATAATGAAACAGCAAGATGTGTTAATCGATTTAAAAAGAATAGAGAAATCATGCATGTATAGAGCATACTACTATCCAATTCAAGGCTTAAAAATTAGGATACTGAGATGACAATGAAGTCAGAGAGTTCATTCTTGCTTTGTCAGGTATAGATGAAACAATCTGAGCCATCCTAGATACATCTGCTTTGAGTTGTTCATATGTAAAACCTGCTGATTCATAAGAACCACCAAACTCTATTGCTAATTGAAGCACTCCTTTATGTTCAATCAAGCACAATACAAGCAACCTGTCATGGATGCCAAAAAATCAAATTATTCTTCCTGATGTTCCATCATTTCAGATTGCAAATACCAGATGAAGCAAAAGTATGGTTTTGACACATCATTATGACTATTATAACATGTCAATGTTGCAATCATTAAATTCAAGGGTGCCAAGCTTAAAAGAGAAAGAAAGAATTGCAACTGCCAGTCCCTCTACCATGGGTATTCAAATATATGTACCAGATTGCTAATTGATAGTACCTAATATTACAAGGAAATGCCTGATATAGAAAAGAGAGAAAACAAAAAGTGGTTCACACATTCAGTAATGAACTTTCTAAATGGTCCAGGTAATTGTCATCATAGGTCAGTTTGAATGCATAAAGGTGCAAGATATGAATTAACACCACATAGCTGTTAGAATAAATGACTTCTAAGGCGGAGAAATGGCATTCTAATTCTAATTCCTAAAGACAGTAAAAATACTAACAATCACACCTTTCAGAATTTGAGAGGACAGCATTAATATCTAGAGTATGAGCATCACTTCCATTATGCTGGAGTGAAAGAGCCAAAATCTGCACAACCTCAGGGATATGTCCATGAACAAAGAAAACATCGTAAACATGTTTCTTCGCAGAGAAGGGAAAACAAGCCAGCCAGTTCAATACAACATCTGCAGGTAATTGCATCTTATATGAGAAAAAAGGACAAGCAAAATGCTGATATGATTTTGCCTGGGAAGAAGAAGAAGAGGAGGGCACACATAACATAGGAATAGATACTACAAAGAAAGATTCATCAACTAAATTCTTGGTCACAGCCCCAAAGACATGCCCTTCTGTGGATACCAGAATTTCCCAACAATTAAAACATGCACCATAGGAATGGTTACTGATGTGCAAATGCATGATAGAATAAATGATTTTAAAAACCATTACCAAGTAACAAGAAGCGAGCAAATGTTCGAAAAGCAATCCCTTGGTAAAATGCCTGCCACCAGTCAGCCCGCTCTTCTGCTGAATGAACTTTGACTGCTAAGACCTAAACATGCCACAACAAAAAAATATTTAACTGAAGAAAATGTAGATTAAAGGCATCAGAACAACATTACAAAATTTTGAAGAGGTTAATGACAAAAACCTGGTCCTGGTAACTCTCATCGATACTACCTGCCAAGGTCCAGATACCCAAATATTAGTTTTGCCCCAAATCAACGTATCAGCAATTCAATAACGAGCAAAAAAATGAAGAATATATTTTGATAAAACCTTCATATTCATTTTGGGAGCAATGAAACATAGCCAAAATGATTTGGCCTGACCCTTCATTTTCCAGTAACATTTAATTCCAGTTTCATTCTCTTCCATGAAAACACAACCATTATAGGACTAAAATCCAGAATATTGCAGCTAAATGCTGAACAAGAAAAGCAACCGCTAAACCCCGCAAGAGAACAAGAACTAGAAGCAGGGGGAAACTGAAATAGCGAAAAATCATGCATAGGACTAACCTGAAATAAGAGAAGTGTCGATAGGGAAGAGAAGGGTAGCTATGGAGTGAAGCGCACAAATGACTTGATCAACATGTTTAGCACTCTTAATAGTTGATATCACTTTGCTAGCTTTGTCAAGGATTGCAGCTTCAAGTTCTCTCTTCATTGAAACCTCCTTCCCCATCTATCTAAGCTTCCTTTTTTCTGATACAAAATATACAATACAATCTTCGCCTGAGTTTGAGCGTGTGTTTGGTTTAAGGGAGGGGAAGGGGAGCGGAGGGGAGAGTTTTTTAATGCTCCTTTGTTTGGTTTAGGATGGGAGGGGAGGTAAGAAGTGATTTACTGTCATACCCTTACATGAAATATTTTATTTTGACCATACAACAAAAGCCATCATAAATTGTTAAAAGACCATCTAAATAGGACCAAAGAACATTCTCATTATCAGTTGCTTCTTAATATTATTATCCTTCTCTTTAAACACCCTCTTTGTCCCCTTGCTGCAAGCTGTTATTCATCTCAACCAGCTCTGTCTAGTCCACATGTTCTTTTATAAATTTCATCCATGCATGAAGCACAGCTAATAGCACCAGCCAAATAGCCATCAAAGTTTACATGATTCAACCTTAGGTAATTGGCTCCCTTTACTGTCAACATTAGTTGTTACGAATTTCCTTGCTGATCAGTGTCACTCATAATAGCATTATCAAGAACCCGACCCATTAATATTGATTATGGTTCCTGCAGTGACATTACCATCTTTCACAATTACATCATAAGATTTTCACCCATTGAACCATACAGATGAACTTTTTTTTTTTAAGGAAAAAAAATCCACATTATTCTACCATGAAAGATAATCTTGCAGCTAAGTTCGCAGGTAATTGGGTTGCAATACACTCAGGGGAAAATCGAATAGCCAATTTATCAAATAGGATTTCTAATCCGAGTTAAAAAGCTATATGATGATTACAGAACTGAATTGGATGCGAAATCTGAGAAGACCCATTTACTTGTTAAGTCATAAACCTGAAAAAACCCATATATTGTTCTATGGAGGATAATGTTCTTTGAAGAGGGCTTCAGAGCAAAAAATAAAGAAAAGAAATCACGATAGTGAGAGGAGCAGAGGGAAATGACAGAAAACTCAACATAGACGACGGAAAACATGAGAGAATGACGATAACGAGAGAAGCAGAGGGAAACTCACCGGAAAACGGAGACACGACGGTGAGATGAGAAGGCTAGGACGGCGCACGGCAAGATCGACGAGGAAGAGCGCGAGCACGACGCACGGCGAGAGCGCAGGCGGGAACGAGAGGAGGATGCAGATTGCAGAGTGAATCGATCGACTTTTTTTTTTTTTTAATAGTTTTTTAGGTATGGGCAATTGTGGAATATAGCAAAATTAGTGAGGATAAATTAGTCAACTTGACTCCTCTCCAAGTAAAAACCTAATTTGGACATACCAAAGCATGGAGAGGGGGATTTTTTTTTTTTTTTAATGAAAAAGGATAAATATGCCTAACTCAAGGAGTATAAAGTGAGTACAAACTAAATAAATCTATCATCAATTACCTCCATTCAAGAATGGTGGTTTTTAATAAAAAATATACAACACATTATCGAAAGAGTGACAATAGTGAATTAAGGAGTGGGCAAGACAATTAACTTCTTTAAATATAAAATATAAATTAACAGTCTATATTCTGTAAAAAATAAGTTTGGTCTCATCCACAATCTATTGAAAAGGATGATTGGAAACTTGTTCCCAACATAACAAATTCAAGGCAACATCACAATCATTAAATAGTTCAACTTTAATGAATCCATGTTACCGACAAAATTCTAAGTCAAGTTTGATTGCAATAAGTTCAGCTGTAGTTGGAGGGACTTTCTCTAATTTACAACATAATCTTGATATCCAATTCCTTATAGCATCTGTGATGATACCTCTACAAGTTGCTTGTTCATTTGGTATGACCAAATCATCAACGTCAATTCTAACAAAACTTGAAATAAGTGGGTGCCATTTATATTGTTGTCTAAACTGATTCCTTTTTTTCCTTTTCCCTATTTTCCCCAATAGATGTTGATCAACATGTGTTTTCATAATACATCTCTTTGCATCCATAATAGGGATATTGTCTTTGAAATCAATAAGTCTTTTACATCTCAAGATCCAAAGTTCCCAACATGTATAAGTAAAGAGAAAAAACCAAGGTACTTTTTTGTATAAGGTTTCCAATGTTTGGTTTTGAATTATAAGTGATTCACTAAGTGGTATCAAGATTTAGGAATTTCTATCATTGGTGAGCTATTATAAATTTCTTTCAAATCACACATGCTATTTGGCAATCTCTCATCACATGTAGACCTGTTTCCATTTGGCAATCCATTGAGGGGCAAATGTTAACATGTCCTATCGAGCAATCCTTTTGCAAGTCAAGACGATGATAACATTGAGGAAACTCAAATGGGGTCATTTGAGGAAGCTTCAAAATATGAAATTTCTTTAAGTTGAATAGATATCTAAAAAAAATTGAATTGCTGGAAAAATTTAGCCATTTCAATAAAAAAATGATAATCTATTATCTATTAAAAAGAAAAATAAATAATTTTGTTATGTAAAGTGTTTAATTAGATCAATTTACTATAGATGATAGCATTTAAAAAAAAAATTGGTTGAATGAGTTGATCATGTGGGTTTTGCATCATTCACCCGTAGAATTTAGATTTTGCTCGTGCGGTATACATAACTTGAAATAATTCAGATTATATTTAAGTTTTTCAATAAAATATTGTCTAGAAAAGTGCCTTTTGAATTGTGAAATATAAATTATACATCAACAAATCATATTTATAGATAAAATAAAGATGGAAAAATAATTAACCAAAATGAAGTTAAGAGAAGAATCAAGACAAATTTCAAGCATAGTCTATCCATTTTCAAAAAATTCATATAGCATCTTCAATTACAATTTTAAGTAAAATTTAAATTCAAATCATTGCAAGAGTCAAATAGAAAAAGATGACCAATAAAGGCAACAAATTATAAGTTAAATTCAAAGGATTATAAGCTAAACTCAATATATAGTTAATTCGTTTATTGTGAATATAGTTACTCATTGAAAGAATTATTTCTTCCTTTTTATATTATGACCAACACTTCCTATAAATTTTCCTAGCTTCATCCTTTCAGTAGTTCAATGGGGAAGTTTCTCAAAAGCCATTGATGCTTTTTAATCTCTATTATATCTATTCTTTACAAAAAGAAAAGAAAAGAAAAAGAAAGAAAGAAAGAAACTCAAATGTTTGGAGATAAAATCTTGCATCGAATATAGTTATAACCTACAATAAAACATCTGCTTAGTTATATATGTTTGTCCACCCTATCAAATGTAATCTTAGTTAACACTTTACTTACTTTTAACTTCACCTCATTGAAGTTTTCTTGTATGTGGTTTACATAAGTAGTTTACTTTTATAACCATTTTCTCTCAACAAAAAATAATCAAAGGCAACAAGCCGATTACAAAGCATTCCATAGGGAGGCAAAGTAGATTTTAAGCAACAAAGAAACAAAGTAAAATTGAATGAAATACATTAACCAGACAAACAACCATCAAATATATTATCCTCCATACCTTAGTTGATCATTTGTTTAAATATAATGCTTTAATCAACTCCTTGTAAAACACAAATTGTGGTAGGGTCATTTCTTTTCCATTCCCAAAGATCAAAAACTCATCCCTGCATAAATCATTCATCAAATCTTAGCTACAATGCACTTATCTTGTGAGAACAATAATTAATTAAACATCCTCAAAATGGTCAATACTTACAACCAATTGATGAAAGAACTTGGAAAAGCCTAAATAAGCAAACTACTTGAGTCTAACTTCCCCCAATACATTCCATTGAACCAAAAATATAGTAGTCACAAATATTTGTGGATAAAGTATATTCTTTGATCTTGTACTTTCTACCCATCCTAAAAGTAAGCACCATAAAAAGTATACAATTATATAAAATTTGTAAGAAGCAAGGGAAGGACAAAACCAAAAAGGAAAAAAAACAGAGTATATATATACAAATCATGTGCAAGAGACCAAAAAACATTTTATAACATCTACTAATTTGGCCATTGAATTTTCAATGACTTATGCAATCATAAGATCCTTAAGATAACATCTTCATTATTAGTAACCTCCATATATAATTAAAAAATATGGGGATAAAAAGATATGAAGTGCTTTAAATGGCTTATGAGTGAATATTCATCAAACAAAAATATAATTTATAAATTATTAATATAAATTACACAGTGCATCTTTCAATTGTCTTCGTATTTTCACATTTTGAGTCCAAGTGAAATAAAGGAAAAGGCTATTAGATGTGTGTATATGCATACCTACTCCTTTTCCTCAGTTGTGTGTTGACTAAGTGATGTCTGCCTAAAAACTGTTTTCATCAACCAATGATAGCAAGCATTTACATAGTAATTTTAGTTCAATTGAGTCATAAATGTTAATTTAAAAAAACTAATATGCAAGTTGAAATAAGACTTAAATATTCTACACCTTAGAGTCATACACCATTGTTCATAAAGAATAAACTTCAATAAACCTTTTAATAATAAACTTTGATAAACTTAAAAAAAGTTCATCCAATAGACTAAACCTTTTAATAACTAAGTAAAACAGGCAATAAAACAGAAAAATGTAGTAGGGGAAAGAAAACAAATGATATTGGGCTTAAATTCTAGTTACTTATAGTATAAAATCATCATACAAATTAACTTGCAGTTCTAAATCTAGGTCCATCATGCGTTCACTTCACTACAAGTCAACAATGTAACTTTGTGAGAAAAAATATCAATGAAGATAAAATAGCTGAAAAATTATAAGCTGTGAAGGAACTAAAGTATTTGTGTGTTGATCAAAGATTTTTTTTCCCCAACAAAATTCACTAATCATATAGTTCTTTGTTGTTTTTAATAGAGCTTTTCTTAACTTTGGAACTTCATGAAAGATTTTTGTTTCAATTACCTCTTCAAATTCAAACTAAAATAGCATAAAAAGATTTAAATATAATTAGTAATAAGTAAAAAAATGCATTTAAAATGAATATAGCAATTGGCTTTAACCACCTGACAGCATTAATAGAAGAATAATTTCAATTTATTAGTTTTTATACTTGCAACAATCTTTGTCTATCATATATCAGTATGTCTTCTTAAAAAGCATTTAAAATGAATATAACAATTGGTTTTAACCATTTGATAGTGTTAAGAGAAGAACAATTTCAATTTATTAGTTTTTATACCTGCAACAATCTTTGTTTATCATATACCAGTATGTCTTCTTATTTACATCATGCAAAGTATTTGAGTGGTAATAATGTATTTAATTTTCCATCAAAAGTTTATAAATATCATACAGTGCTATATACAAAAGGCGTTCAACAATCCATATTTGAAAGTACCTAAATGCTAATTATATCATTAAACAGCATGAAGTAAGATTGGTTAACAATGTGGCAAGATTAGAAGAATTCAATTTCAAATGTGTCAAGTTTCAAAAAGAAACTATGATATAATTGTCAACCAAGGCATTATATGTCTCAACTCTTAATAGTCATGCTGTGAAGATAAGCTACTTGGAAAAAATGACCTTGGATATAAGAAGATTTTAAAAAACAGAACCAAACATTAGGGCATGATATTAGATAAGTTAACATAAAATTTTAAATTGTCTTATATAAAGTATAAATGACATGTTAACTAATTAATTAGATAGGCAAACCATAAAGTTATATTTAATGGGAAGCTGAAGAAGGATATATCAAAATGCAATATGGCTTTAACTAAAGAATTTATGGTTGATAATTGATAATTGATTTATAAAATCATCTCATTTATGCTTTTAGTAGATATATTTTGTGTGGCAAGCATGTTATCAAAATGAATCAATTTAACCTCCACAGCAAACTTTAAGGTAAAAAATGAGTTGATTCATAATAGAGATAAGCAAAGGCAAGATAAACAAAACAGCAAACTAAATCTTATAAAAAAGTATTATTGTTTACTTAAACTTACAATCATTATATTGATTTATAAAATCATCTCATTTATGCTTTTAGTAGATATATTTTGTGTAGCAAGCATGTTATCAAAATGAATCAATTTAACCTCCACAGCAAATTTTAAGGTAAAAAATGAGTTGATTCATAATAGAGATAAGCAAATGCAAGAGAAACAAAACAGCAAACTAAATCTTATAAAAAAGTATTATTGTTTACTTAAACTTACAATCATTATATTGATTGATTTTCTTAAGGACCATGA